TGGAGAAAAATGTGCAACATGCAATCAAAAAGATAAATGTACAACATGTGCAGATGGATATTTCATGAGTTGGATAGGAGAATGTAAATCAATAGACGAAGTTAAAGGATGTAAAGGAGAAATAGATAAAGAATATGGATGTAGAGAATGTTCAGAAGGATATTATTTAATAAATAAAGAATGTTCAAAATGTAAAGAGAATTGTACAAGATGTTCAATAAAGAATGAATGTAATAGTTGTGAAAATGAATATGTATTAAAAAATAAAGAATGTATTAAATATTCAGATATTAATAAATGTAAAGAAGTAAAGAATAATAAATGTTCAAAATGTTCATTTTGGTATGGAACGAATGAAGAAGGAAATGAATGTAATAAAGAAGTAGTATGGTGGATGATAATGATAATTGTCATTATTATAATTATTATCATTATTATAACAATTGTAATGATAATAATGATGGTTAATTACATAATGAAGAGAAGAGAAAAGAAAGAACGAGAGAAAACAACAACAATATTCAAAATAACACAATCAAATATCAGATTCATATCACTTGGAGATGGAATATTAACAAGTAAGAAAGAAATTGAACTTCAAGAAGGAGAAGAAATTAAAGTGAATGAAGAAATACGAGAATTAATTTGTATTGGAAATGATAAAAAAGAAAAGATGAAGATACAAATAAGTAGTAAAGAAGAAAATGAGAAATATTCAATTAGAACAAACCCAAATGTCATTACAATTGAAGGAGGATATGCATGTGAATTTGAATTATTCATTACAATCAAATGTACAACTAAAATCAAAGATAAAATAATGATAATTAGTAAAACACTTAATAAAGCACAAGAAGAAACAATCAAAAGTATTTCTATTGAAGGAGAAACAGAAATATCAACACGACTTGATCCTGATGAAATAAAAGAAGAAAAGAAAATAGGAGAAGGATCATTTGGAGTTGTTTATGTTGGAGAATTTAGAGGAAATAAAGTAGCAATTAAGAAAATGAAACAAGTTGAAGAAAATGAAGATAAAAAGAAAGAATTTGAGAAAGAAGTAGCAATGTTAGATAAATTTCGAAATGAATATATTATTCAATTTTATGGAGCAGTATTTATTCCTAATAAAATATGTATGGTAACAGAATATGCAAAATATGGATCAATACAAGATATAATGAATAAAAGAAAAATTACAGAAATATCAAAGAAAATAAGAATCAAATTT